TATATATACTTTAAATAAAATGCTCCTTTTCGAATCTTATTGGTGCACTTTAAGTGTATTTATTTATTTATCAGTCAATTTATAAATTTCCGCTTTTATTTTTAATTATGTCAGTTTCGGTCCTCCATACTGCAGAAGCCTGACAATCACCCATTCATTCAAATCAGGTGTGTTTGAGCAGAGAAAAAGGTAAAACATGCAGGGCTGCGGCCCTCGAGGACCAGGACTGCCCACCCCTGATCTGAACATTCAAACAGCTAACTTCTTGTTTTATTTCTATAAAACCCTGTTAGACCCATAGAACCTTTAATCTCTCTAATCAACAGAAAGTAAGTTTGAATCCTTTGATTTTTTTGTGTGTTTAATATTTTCAGTTCATCTATCAGATGCACCTGATGGGTTCAAAACAAAATAAAGAACATGTTGTTACTGAAAGGAGCCATAGATTTTGTTTTTAAAAGCACTAAAACCTGCTGAGTTATTTTGATAACTCAGTTGTTGGTTCAAGCTGTTTGGTGAAAAGTTGGGTTAGTTTGACCAAATCAAAATGTTTGACCCACCACCATTTGCTTATAGGTTGACTATGCATAGATCACATTTTGTTTTACAAATCTTATTTAAAAAATACTATGAAAACTACATCTTAGCTGTTCCAAAAGAATTACGCCTCAGATTTCAAACATCTTCCCTAAAGACTCTGTTGTGACAGAATGAAGTTTTACACAGACCTGAGTGTAGGTCAGAGGTCACAAAGGGACAGGGTCTCTTCAAACCTCATCTGTCAGCCTGTGTGGCTCAGAGCTGATAGATGTGATTCCACCTTAAACCCATCTGACACACATAAAAAGCATCCACGAATAGGCAGTAAGATGTTACAGTTACCCCATGGTCTTGGTGGCTTGTCACTCCCCAACTTTTTATATTACTACTGGGCGGCCAACAATAGAGCCTTACTGTACTGGTTGAGAGACGACAATCCTGTCCCTACTTGGGTAAATCTAGAGAGGAAATCAGTTACGGCGAGCTCTCTCTCTGCTTTACTTTGCTCCCCGTTACCGTTTAATCAACCCATCTCAACTTATACTTCTAATCCGGTTGTAACTCACACAATAAAAATCTGGAATCAGTGCAGGAGGTCGTTTAAAAGTGTCAAATAACCATATGTTTACTCCTTCACTAATGGACTCTGTTTTCAATACCTGGAGTTTAAAGGGAATAACTTCTCTAAATGATCTTTATATAAGCAATAAGTTCACCTCATTTGAACAGTTAGCACAGAAATTTGACATCAGTCACAGTTCTTCAGGTATTTACAACTGAGACATTTTGTAATGTCAAGCTCTGGATGTTTTCCTCTACGCCCCCAACTTCTCTTATAGATGAGATTCTGATGTGTAAGTCTGTAACAAAACGCTCTATGAGCAGAGTTTATTCTCTGCTCAGCTCATTTTCTGACTCCATTTTAGTTTCTTTGAAGGGCAAGTGGGAGATGGACTTGGAGGAATCCATATCAGACWCAGTTTGGCAAAAAATTATTCAAAATATATATTCGTCCTCAATATGTGTGAAACATGTTATAGTTCAATTCAAGGTAGTACATCGTCAACACTGGTCTAAGGACAGATTGTGCGAATTCAAAAGGGACTTGGATCCGACGTGTGATCGTTGTAAACAATCTCCTGCCACACTTCTACACACATTCTGGTCCTGTCCAAAGCTACATGGATACTGGCAAGGTATCTTTGATACCTTTTCAGGACTATTTGGACGAACTGTTCATCCATCACCATTCATCTCTCTCTTTGGGGTGGCTCCTGCAGAGGCTTCCCTCAGTGAACATCGGTGTTAGCTTTCTGCTCTCTACTGGCTAGAAGACTCATTCTTCTTCGTTGGAAGGATCCACATCCTCCAGTATATGGT